CCGGGGAGACCACGTTAAAATAAACGCGCCATGTACTTTACCTCTTGGATGGTGTGGAAACAAGTACACATTTTCAATAATTAAAATTAATTATTCATAAATTAATTAGCGAATTAACGATACGCCACTATTTCATGACAAAATTGAAGAAACTAAACTAAAACTAGTTTTAGTGAACCCTAATTGACATTTGGTTTCAGAAAATCGACTATAGTACCGTAATATATCATATTTTACGCGAAGTTGTAAAATGTCCAGGGATTTTGTGCCTAAACGGTTGACTTTAGCGAAAATTTTCATAGAACCTTTTTTATAGGAAATTATTCTCTTTAATTTTGCTCTCCTCAAATTTTTACGAAAAACGCATAATTTTTGAGATATTTACAAAATACCGATTTTGGGCGCCATCTTGGCAAGATGGCGGCGCCGACGGCAAGTCTGGAAATGTGCATTTTATGGATTTTAGTTAGGGACCCCAAAACCTATAAACCTGCAAAGTTGCAAAACTTCCGGACTTTTTTCCAAGCAAAAATCCCCAATGACTGAACTACTAAGTAATAAGGATTTTGCTGCAGTAACCTAATTTGTAGTGTATTTTATATAGGAATAGGCGACTTTTGCTGCAGTTTGTGACTATGTTTATGTAAATTTCAGGATCCACTATAAGTTTGACGTTGTCATGATTTTATGATTCAACAATTTTAAAATTTTTGTTGTCAAGACGAACCTTCATTTGAAAATGTAGACAGAACATAATAAAAACAATTTGACTGAAATAAAATAACATTTTATTTGTTATAAATATGCAAAAATAATATATAATCCTAGCAATGTGATATTAGGGACAAAATCTAATACAATTACTTAAATCTAAATGATCCTAACATTTATTAATACAAATTAAAAATAAAGAAAAAAAAGATTATTTTCTGGTTTTTGATATGTCTATATCTATGATATGATAAAATACCTAAATTGGAAAGAAAATCTGTATTTAGGAACCTATCGTATTTAGGAACATATCTATATACATATAGTAAAATCGATAAAAAATTAGTTTTTAATGAAAATAATATCAAATTATTAAGTGATTAGTCATGAGAAAATTGAAAAAACATGAACATAAATGAACACAAGTGAAGAAAAAAAGATAGTAATTAACCTACATAAGTAACTTAAAATTTACACCAAACAACATAAACTAACTTCATTTAAAAAAAGCCTTAACATTTTTTAATTAATATGCAAATGCATATAAAAACATAACAAAATATATCTAACACATTGAACATTATACTGAATATACGACGATAAAATGGTATTTTATCGTCGTCCGAAAAGATTAATTCACGAGCGATGAAAGCGCGAGTTAATGTACTTACTCCCTTGCGGTTAAAGTACTATTTTATCTATTTTTGACAGATATAAGACAATTTTAACAGTTGCTATGGAAAAAAATGTTATTTATCTATTTGAAATATTGCTCTTCTCTAAATATTATAAAAGCAAACTACCAAAAAAAATATTTATTGAAAACTGGAATTCTATACCCTGTATTGGTATGGAAGTACAGATCTATATTTAGCCTTATGTTTATAAGGTATTTTACTCACCTTCAGATATAACTTCCTTGGATGTTGACGGAATAGCGATTACATCTGGTGAAGTAGATTCCGAAACAACTGAAAACATAAAAAAAAAATTGAAAACATAACTATTGCATTGTGTTATATTATGTGCAATGTGTTATAGCATTGTGTTTAAAATGTAATAGTATTTTACTCATCTTCAGATATAACTTCCTTGGATGTTGACGGAATAGCAATTACATTTGGTGAAGTAGATTCTGAAAGAGCACTAGCAGCCTCTTTCACATTAACAGGAACAACAGTAATAGTGGCTCCAACTTCCATCATCGAATTGTCTACAAAAATATATTTATTTAATTTTTTCGATCATAATACAAACAAATTTTTTAGAGGCAAAATTGAAAGTTAAATATTATTGTCAAAAGTTTTTGTTTTTCAGTAATATAATATTTGTTGTAAAAATATTGAAAAGATTATACAGAACCACCACCAACAGACAAAACGTGGATTTTCTAAGTGCTGATCTATAAACAATTTTTGTTTATTTAAATGTTCGTTTATGCAAGTGTATAAATCGATTGTGCAGATAAACAAGCAACTAATAATTTGAAAAAATCGTCCAATATGTTTTCATTTGTAACAATATATATATTATACCGTTTGATCGAAAAAAAAACTGCGTCCAGTTGGCTTGGAAATGATTGATGACATTCCCCATATAATTCTATATATAAAATGACCGCGATGTTCAATTCATAGCCATCGCTGACGCCGTTTTTTTTTCGATCATACGGTATAAATAACAAGTAAAATGAATACGAGTAACAATGCTTATGAACCTACATACCTGACATAAATAAAGTTGGGACCGCAAATTTCTTTAGATGGCTTTGAGACATTCCTGCAAACATGGTAGGTCAAAGTGTTTTCCACAAAATCTATACCCTCTATGCAAATCTACGGGTGCTCTAAAATCCTGCCTGTTGCAGTTCTTAACCCACTCAGAACATCTATAGTTCAGTCATTGGGGATCAAAAAATGGGCCTGCTTGGAAAAAAGTCCGGAAGTGTGAAACTTTGCAGGTTTATAGGTTTTGGGGTCCCTAACTAAAATCCATAAAATGCACATTTCCAGACTTGCCGCCGGCGCCGCCATCTTGGCAAGATGGCAAGATGGCGCCAAAAATCGGTATTTTGTAAATATCTCGAAAATTATGCGTTTTTCGCAAAAAAATTGAAGAGAACAAAGTTAAAGAGAATAAAATTTCCTATAAAAAGGGTTATATGAAAATGTTCGCTAAAGTCAACCGTTTAGGCACAAAATCCCTGGAAATTTTACAATTTTGCGTAAAGTATTATATACATATTATAGTCGATTTTCCGAAATCAAATGTCGATTAGTGTTCACTAAAACTAGTTTTTTGTTTAGTTTCTTCAATTTTGTCATGAAACAGCGGCGTATCATTAATTCGCTCATTAATTTATGAATAATTAATTGCCGTGCTGGACAGCATTCATTGCGAACTTACCACCAGGTTCAGCATTGGTCTGGTTGTACCAAAGATCCCGAAGAATGGGGTTGGAAGAAAACAAAAACAGGCATTACTCCACTCACAACGTTCAGATATCCAGCTCCAAAATCCCTATTGGCATTATCCTGTAAATGTAAAACCAACAACTATGGTAAAGACTGCGGATGCAGAAAAGCAGGATTAAAATGTTCAATGATTTGTGAATACTGCAATGGGAACTCCTGTGGCAACGTCACTGAAGTGTAACTCGACGAATCCGATGAAGAGGAGTTGGACTTGCCTGTAGATATCCCTCTGGCGGCTGAAGATGAAGAGTTGGACGTTCAGAGACCACCCTGATGAGTCCAGCACAGCAGACACGATCGACTTTGACATCAATGAGCCAGATCCGTCGGGCTTGTGCAGATAACTTAAAGTTTTTAATTTATCTAGTGGAGTAGGCCTCCGTTAAATGAAAGAATTAACTTGTAAAAACGTTAAAATAAACGCGCCATGTACTTTACCTAGTGGGTGGTTTGAAAACAAGTACACATTTTCAATAATTAAAATTAATTATTCATAAATTAACGAGCGAATTAATGATACGCCACTGTTTTATGACAAAATTGAAGAAACTAAACTAAAACTAGTTTTAGTGAACCTTAATCGACATTTGATTTTGGAAAATCGACTATACATAATATATCATATTTTACGCAAAATTGTAAAATTTCCATATATTTTGTGCCTAAATGGCTGACTTCAGCGAAAATTTCCATAAAACCTTTTTTATAGGAAATTGTATTCTCTTTAATTTTGCTCTCTTCAAATTTTCGCGAAAAACGCATAGTTTTCGAGATATTCACAAAACACCGATTTTGGGCGCCATCTTGGCAAGATGGCGGCGCCGACGGCAAGTGTGGAAATGTGCATTTTATGGATTTTAGTTAGGGACCCCAAAACCTATAAACCTGCAAAGTTGCAAAACTTCCGGACTTTTTTCCCAGCAAAAATCCCCAATGACTGAACTACTAGAATTTATTAAAATATTTTTCATTATCTAATAATAATTGTACATACATGCATGAGTCTGTCAAAAACATTAGAATTTCTGAAAAATCTTACTAGACTTTTTGGATCCAATGGGAATGAAAAGAAGCTAATGCTGGATTCAGAGTTCCGTAGCCGTAAGACGTAAGCCGTATCGTTAAGACGTAAGGGATATCGACCTTCACAATCATATGATTGCGTTCATAGATCTCCGTATGCCGTAAGCCGTATGCCGTAAGACGTAAGAAATGAACCAATTTTAATTCTTACGTTACGTCTTATCGAATCGGGTGTTGTCGGCTAGGTTCGGTGGTACTCGGTAGCCATTTCTATAACTTTTATAATATATTTCACAGATATTTCACTTCGGCAACGAAAATATAATTGTCCGTGACCATTTTAGTTCAATTAAATTAATAATAACAAAATAAATAAGGAGTATTATAGTTTTATTCACAACATTCACAACCTAAACAACAACATAACCTATTAAAAACGGTAATGCGCACGCTTACGATGAAGTTATCGTTACGTCTTACGGCAACTATGAATGGCTTTCCTTGCGTCTTAAGTCTTACGGCTAACGATACGGCTTACGTCTTACGGCTACGGAACTCTGAATCCAGCATAAGACCCATATCAGCCTCCGTATTGCTTAAACATCCGGGAACACAGCCGTAAACAACGCCCATTATAAACAAAATTGTCAAACGAATATAGTCACGAAATAATAAAGTCACAAACACACCACAAAGAATAATTTTAATTTACTTTTCCGCTCGTTCATATTACACTCATATTTTTAGGTTAGGAATGTAATTACGAGCAGAGTCTGTTACGAGTTACGAGTCATGAGCAACGTTGTCAGTTGTCGTTGTCAGATTTTAACAAAGAAATTCCTGAATCGTTAATTGGCGATTGCAATAATATTTTTTTTATATTTAGCAGTAAAGCAAAATAGAGTGCAAAATTGACGATGGGTGTCCCTTGGTTTTATTTAATCAAAAGTCAATTGTTCTTGTTCAAATATTTCAATGATAATATTTTTTTAACTTTTTTGTACAGAAAATGAGGTAAATTTTTGTTACAATTACTCTAATATATAATTTATTTACATCATTAATGTCACATATAATAAATTTACAAGGGAACAGTTTTATCAACATCGCCCAACACACATTTTCATATTTCTGGAGAGTATTCTTCATTACCCTAACTTGTTCTTGTAGCTCTTCATTTTGCTCCCCTAACAGTTTAATTTTATCTCTAAACTGATCAAGTCCATTTGACCTAAAAAGTGTTTTTTTTTCAAACCTTTTTGACCCGATGTCAATAAAAGATACTTTTATATATAATAACATGGTTTGATCTAAATCCATTCAAAAATAAGAAATAATTAGACGATTTTTTAAATAGTTTAACACCGTGGATTATAATCTATAAAAGGCGGAACGCCAGAACAGTTAGTCACTGCGTATTGTATTGCCCAGCAGTTTTACGATTTTAAGTTTTGGAAATATATTTTTTTACTATATTGTAATTAATAATGTTAGACAATGATTAAAACTAAATATTCTTAAAAATGTTTATACCTATGTGGCGGATTCATCTCTCCAAAAAATCCTATATGGGTATTTCACCACTGCACTGCAAGAAAATCTACAAAATAAAATAGTTATGTTTTGTAAACACTTCTGCGTTAAACTCAAACGGAAACTACTTGTCAGAAGTTATGTTTACAGTTATACAAATTTGCCTAACAAAGAAAAAAATGCTTAACGTTTCGGAAAGTTTATCTCTTTTCGTCGTCGGAAGCCAAAAATAATACAAAGAATAAAGAAAAAAACTATTTAAAATATTTAAATTCAACTATTCATGGGACACAGGGCACAGAATAAATTTTAATAACGACAAAATTATAATGAAAGAAGCTTTTTTAAACAGTCTAATAAAAACAAATGTATTACTCATGCATCTGTAGACTGTAGATGTTAGTAATGTATGGCAATCGGTTCTCTGATTTAAAGAATATAAGATAAATAAACATAACATATGTAAAATTTAAAAATATTCATACAGAAAGTTTGGGGCTCTTTGGTTTTACCTTATTAAGTAATTGTTATCAGGTAGTAATTGTTAGTTTTGAAGTTTAACTTGATATAATGTCATTTTAACAGAAGGTCAACGGTTCTTGTAGACGTATCTGTTTTAAAAAACTAAAGTGTAAAAAGTGTTTAAATATTTTAAATAGTTTTTTTCTTTATTCTTTGTATTTTGTGGCTTCCGACGACGAAAAGAGATAAACTTTCCGAAACGTTATCAGCGCTTTCAGATTAGGCAAATTGTTATGTTTACAGTTATACAAATTTGTTAGGCAAATTTGTATAACTGTAAACATAACTTCTGACAAGTAGTTTCTGTTTGGGTTTAACGCAGAAGTGTTTACAAAAAATAACTATTTTATTTTGTAGATTTTCTTGCAGTGCAGTGGCGAAATACCCATATAGGATTTTTTTGATTAAATATTCTTGTGTAACCTTAGAGGAATAGCCAATTTAATCTACCATCGGTAACTGTTTTCTAAACGCGCTCTTTTTGATTTTTCATATCAGTTTAATATTGTATTACATTACACTCCATTACAAATTAATGAATATTTATTCATGCTCCATGTTTGCTTATTTTTCTGAAGCTATCACACAACGTTTGACCTTGATTGCTTCGTGCTATTTCACAAAATAGTACGAAAAATATAAGCCAGCCCTGTGTTATAAAAACTAGTTCCCACATTTTCTGAAATTGATCGAGACATTTGTTTTTTATTGTTAATCCAGATTAACAATAAATCAATCACGGCGCGTCTTGAACAATTTCAGGAAACGTGGGAACTACTTTTTATAACACTGGCTTATATTTGAGTTTACTTCTGAAAGTATTTCTAGAAATGTTTTGCGAAAAATTTCCAGAAATTTTTCCTAAAACATTCCGGGAATATTGTAGAGGCTGTTTTAAACATTAAATCGTGCTTATCTCATCCTAATCATATTCTTTATGAAACATTCATATCGAGTTAATATAAAAAAGAGAAAATATAATTTTTATTCAAAACATTGAAGTATTAAAAAAGCTGTAATGTATCGTAGTCCCTGGATTGTCTTTACAAGAGGATTTTTTTTATTATTGATATTTTGAGAAAAATGCATTTTTCATAAAAAAATTTGGATTATTCTGAAATGGTTAATCCCGTTTATACTTTTCCAAATTTCAATAGTTTTTAGAAGATTAAGAAAATAGAACATTAAGAAAAAAACACGAAAATATGGTTGAATTTTTTCCTTGAAAAATCCTAAAAATCAAAACGCGTTGCTATGGTTATATCATTTCGATTTCATCCTTTGATATATTGGTATATAACATATTCTTTGCTGTTTTTAAAGTATCATATTTTCCGATAATTCTCATCACCTTTCCGTAGCATTGAACTAAATAAATTTTGTACTTCTTTAACATTTTAAAACAACAACAAAAATTTCTGTTAATTACAATTATATTAAATAATCTATCAAAGAATGAAAGCGAATTTGTATTACCATAGAAACGCGTTTTGATTTTTGGGACTTTCGTAAAAAGGACTTCTTTTGGAAAAATTACTACTATTACTATATTTTCATGTTTTTCTTAATTTTCTCTAAAACGGTGTGGAAATTTGGAAAAGTATAAACGGGATTAACCATTTTAGAATAAGCAAAAATTTTTATGAAGAATGCATTTTCGCAAAATGTCAATAAAAAAATCCAAAAGGTCAATAAAATCCGGGGACATGCTGTATAGGCAATTACAATTCTGAAACATTTTAAATGATATAAACAATGCTGTTTTTATTTATTTACAAAGACTCTTAAGGGGGCGATCTCGTGTGTATTGAAATATTGTTTATTGTGGTCGATTGATTTCCTTATACATAAAAATGAGTCACAGGTGGGCCTAAGCTCTACCGGGACCTCCCTACAAGGAAAAGATCGTGAGCGAAGATTATTGTTGGCAAGGTCAAACAGTTTTTACAATGCAGGCGTTTTCTATTAAAAAAAACGATTATCATAAAGATAATCAAAATTTCTATACTCATTATAACCTACTTCTTAGCACTTAGTATTCAATCTTTAATGCGACTTTGGGTCAATTGGTCTTTAGCTCAAATTTTCGATCTTCGACGAAAACATTCGCGAATACAGGGTGTTTCAAAACATGTGCCATCTCTCGGTGGCAGATTCCTCACGTAAAAATAAGATTTATTTTTCATATCAACATAGGTCCGATTCTGCTTCGTTTCGTAGCTACAGGACGTTAAAGTCTTAATAATTTTGCGATTTATTATAATTTTCTTCCAAGTACTTTTAGTGATTTTAATGAAATTTTGAGGATAAAAATTACTATTGTGTAGTGCTACATATTATTACTATTACTATAGTGTAGTACTAATAAGTGCTACATATTTTAATGCTAAACAAGTGTCGATAAATTTACCATGGACGTGCATATGGGTTGTCACTGGAATATTTTCCAAAAAAAAAACATGTGCGCCATTGACTTTTTTCTTTTGATATCAAAATTGTGTAGGTCGTTTAATGCAAATTAAAAGTTATCTCTTGCTATTTTGTCGAATTTGGCCTCCTTGATTAGATTAAGGCAATTGTATTAATCACAATTAATAAAATTAATAAATTATATAATTTACCTAATTTATTATTAAACATTATTACTACTATTAGTTATTATTACTATTAGTCCAATATACATCGATTTCAAATAAAAAAATATAGTCTGTCCAACGACAAAATCCTTGACAGTGATAGATGTGTCTGTCATTTTAATTTCAAACTAGTGTATTTTATTTTATAAAGAAATAAGTTGGTACAATTGGAACGCATAATTAATATATTTAAATTTTGAGTGACAAGTGATTATTTTAAAATATTGTGAAAAAGAACCGTATAAAACTGAAAAAATCTGATTTTGGTTAATTAACTTTAATCTTATTTTTTTCTGCTAGTACTAAAATGTAATATTTACCTATCGTGTGATGTTATTTTACAGATACTCCAGTTTTTGGTACCATATACGATATAGGTACGAGATGGTAAACAACTTTATTTGTGGCTAATACAACTCTCTGGTCATAGTCTCTGGCAAACTGTGTTTTTGGCGGTCTCTGGACACCGAATATTAACTGTAAACTATGGTCTGGGTCAACACTTAATTTTCCCTCGAGTTTTCCTCCACTTTATTTTAAAAAACACGAAACGTAAGTAACAACACAGTCCAAAATGCAAAATGCAAAATATTTATAATTTCTATTTGACACAAAATTATAACCTATAATTTGGCAAGAGTTTGACAACCCTCAAAAATCTTAAGTCGAGTTCATACGCATCGGAGTCCGTTTGTCGTTCATCGTTGCGTCAAACAAATAATATCGAAATATGATTTGTCGTTTATGAAATAAACCAATAAAAATGGTTAAAAACAACAAGAGAGGACGCATGACGTATTTACTTATAAATCCATCCATAGTTACTTTAAAAAATATTAGAAACTTTTTTTTAGTGAAATGAATCGATTGGTATGGAAGTCATCTGCTTTTTTTCTGTCATCGTCTGTCGAAATCTTACCTGAGAAAAAAACAGAGTATATGGTATTTAAGATAATTACAAAAAACCTAATTTTAAAAAGTTTTATCATCCTGTAACTCTAAAACTATGCATTTCCATACCCATGTTTATTGGAACTTTTTTTCATATTTTTTGATTAGACATCAATGAGTACTTATTTAAAACTTTCGCAAGTTAATGATATTAATTTTTTTAAAGGTTACCTACTATTAGACTTGAATCAAGGCAAATTAATAAAATTGCGTTAATCTCATCAAGGAAGCCGATATCGACAAAATATCAAGAAACAACTTATTACAACGGCATTAAACTGCTTACACTATTTCGCCAACAAGAGCAAAAAGTCAGTGGCGTACATGCTTTTTTTAGAAAAATATTCTAGTGATAACCCATATGCACGTCCCTGGTGGATATGGCGACACTTTTTTAGCCTTAAAATATGTCGCATTTATAGTAACTTTTACCCTCCAAATTTCATTCGAAACGCTAAAAGTACTTGAGAGAAAAGTATAAGAAATCCAAAAAAAATATTAAGACTTTAACACTCTGTAGCTAGGAACCAAAGCAGAATCGGACCTATGTTGACATAAAAAATAAATCTTATTTTTACATGCGGAATCTTCCCACGAGAGATGGCACATGTTTTTTGAGATATCCCGTATATTCGCACGAAGTAATTCGCATGCGACCTGAAAAATGCATTTTTGAATACTTTCTATCTACGGAATTCGCATGCGATATTGTCATTGGGAATTTTAGCGTAGCCACGAGGTGGCAACTTTACAAACCGAAGAATTAAGAATAACTAACCCAATCACGGAGGCTAGGGATCCATTCCAGATGCCGAGAGCTGTGCTCTTAGATGTAGAAAAATAGAGATAGGTTTCCTATCTACGGGCCGTATAGCATTTTTCCGTTTCCTATACGGCTAGCGCAACCGATTGCGTTAATCGCATAGGAAACGGACTCGAGACCTGCAACTCCGTTTACTAAATGGTTAACGCAACCAATGCAAATGATATTATTATAATGAGTCATAATATTATTATTATGACAGGTGGAGCTGCAGAGGTGTTAAATTTAATAAATTTAAATTAATAATGAGGTATTTTTATTCTGGATTTCAAAAAAAAGATATTCCAAACATAATTGAGAGATAAATCTAACGCTGCGTATAAATATGTCGAGACGAGTGCGAGAGACGCCCGAGACGAGTCAACCTCAAGCGGATTTGAGGCTGACTCGTCATATTTGGACGGGGTCTGAGCTTCGAGCCGAGCCTATGCCCAGCCGGACGGCGTTGTCTCCGCTTTTTCCGGAGCCTTTGGCGAACCATCAAAAGGATTGGGGCGTCTATTTAACCAGTGGCGTATACACCGCGGCTCCGTGAAACAAGTGGCTCGGATTCTACATCCCATTTTTATACAGGGTGTTTCAAAACAAATGCGAAAAACTTCAGGGGGTGATTCCTTGTTCAAAATAAAGGGTAGTTTGCTTCATAAACGCTGGGTCAGAAGTCAACCATTAGGGAGATATCGCGGTACAAAGATGGTGGAAAAATAATGTTTTTATTTTTTATCTTGAAAACGAAAAGAGATAGACTAATAAAATTTTATGGAAGCATTACTGTTATGAAAACACACTTTCTGGTAATTTTTTCACTTTTTTAAAATGAGTGGAAGGGGTTGAAATAAACTACCCCTATCATTCTTGTTAACGAAATTTAAAGAAAAATCTTATCAAACACATGCAAAAAAATTAATTTGGATAGTTAAGTTTGTTTAGAAACTTTTTTATCTCTTGTATTTTTTTGATAAAACTCACCGATTTGAAATTAAAAAATAAAATGTAAAGCATTACATGCCAGGACAAAAAAACATTTTCTGATAAAGAATTAATAATTAATACTAAGAGGTGAATTTGCATTGTGAGGCAAATTCACCTCAAATATCCATTTAGTAATATCACAGGTAATATCTATATTTTGGGATCGTAAATGTTTACATTACTTGCCAATGAATCATACTATTTTCTCTAATCGACTTTAAAATAGAGTGTTTTAGCATTACTAGATAAATAAAAAGAGAGCTTCCGAATTATAAAACCATTATTATAACCAACTTATTTTCCAAGTTTTACAACTTACTGTTAGTTTATGTCTTAAAAAAAGTTTTGTTGACAATGGTTTGCTTTATTTTAATAAGTTTTGAGTATAAGTATTTTTGTTTGTTTTAAATATTTATCGCATACCGTTTATATAACTTTTTGGTAAATTCTCGACATTTGAGCGACGTTTCAAAAATGTTTCGCCTGTGCCTCTTTTTATCCTCTCGCCCCTATTTTTTATTTTCAAAGTTGCCAACCCTAGGTTAAGTGTTATTTTTTTTTTCATTTATTATAATTTTCTTCCAAGTGCTTTTAGTAATTTGAGATCGTTTGATGACTGATTTAGTTCTGATCCTGGTAGTTTTTTGTATAAAACAGTGCCACCATCGTCGATTTTTTTCGTTAAATGCGAATAAGAAAATATCCTGATTATATCCTGGCCTTATCCCTTATTATTTTTATTTACAAGCGATCTTAAATTTATAACATATACATATATTTTATTTAATTGTTAACATTAGGGTAGTTTTACCAATTGTATATGTGTGGAATTCCACTGATATGTATTTTAAGTTGTTTGTTAAATTTTTAAAATTTTTTGATTGTATTTTGCTCTCTTAACTTTGTCTCTTAACTTTGTAGTGTCCTAAAGATTCAAATAATATTTGCGAAACGTCGACAAATTTAAAACAAAGGACTTCTGTTTATTTTTTGATCCTAATCCAATTAAAAAAGCACATTATACTTAAATTTATTAATTAAATTTTTAAAATATTGAATGGTATCCAATAATACTTGAATATATTCTACTAACTACACACCGTCATAATCGTTTGGTAATAATTTATAGTATAATTTAAATGAATATATTATTTGTTTGTTTTTTTAGTATACAGTGTGCTGCATCGGAACACGGGATATAGGAAATACCATGTAAATTTTGAAACGGTTAAATATTATCTTCCCAGATAATCTCCTGCAAAAGTTGTATTAGACTTTGTAACAAGCAAACTTCTACCTCAGCTCATCTTGGCTTCTATAAAACTTTATCTCGCATTCGGGAATTATATTACTGCCCGAAAATGCGCCATCAAGTATTAAAATATGTTCGTTCATGTAAAGTTTGTGGAGCACAGAGAAAGCCACAAATGCTGCGAGAATAGGTTTTATGGGGAAAGAGAAAGAAGCACAATTTCCATGGCAAAGAGATTGGTTTTCTAAATATACGCTAGTATATCCTCTACGTACAGCTACAACCAAGAATATTAGTAATTTCATAGAGAATAATGTGTTTTTAATCTATGGTGTACCTCAGTATGTGATTTGTGATAACGCACCGAATTTGAGCGGTAGAGTCCTGCGTGATTTGTGTTCAGTGCAATTTTGTAGAACGCAGTAATCAAACGGTTTCTACAGCAATTTGTTGTTACATCGATGAACATCAAAATTGGGATGCAGAGTTACCTAAAATTCAGTTTGCAATTAACACAAGTCGTCACGATATCACAAAGGTCACACCTTATTTTTTGAATTTTGGTCGTCATGTACTCGTGTCTGGGGATTATTATGGTTCAGATGCCATGAATAATGTTGATTTTGAAATTTTACCTGGCGGTAGAAAGGGTTATGCTGCCGAACATGGAGGTTTACGCGATTTATTTTTGGATGTTAGGAAAAATATGAATAAGGCTTATCTTCAGTACGCAAATGCATACAATCTCCGAAAGAGGGAGATCTCGTTTAGTGTAGGAGATAAGGTATGGCGTCGCAACAAGGTTTTGTCGAATGCAGCTAACAAATTCGCAGCTAAGCTAGCACCTAAGTTCGTTTTATGTACAGTAACTAAGAAACTTTCACGCCTTGTTTATACTTTATCGAATCCTGATGGATCTTCTGCCGGAAATTGGCATGTTAAGGATCTTAAGCCTTATAGTCCCGTAGAAGATGATTCTTCTAGTTCGTCTATGCATTCTGATGCATGAGACTTAAGTTTTAGTTTTCCCGGCCGTGCGATATATTTGTCTAGATGACATCCACACTCAGATCAAGATCAAACACTCAAAAAAAAAGCAACGATGAAATTTTTGGTCAAATTTAAAGGGTTATATATATCACGATCAATTTGCAATTTTTCAATTATCATTACATTTTGATGTAATTTTTTAATATGACGCGATGGTTTTGGTGACTATTGTCGTAACGTCATATTGCGCTGCATTGGATACTATATACTAAATTTAAAAAACGTTAAAAACTAACGATACAGTCCGGGTGTTAATAAACATTAATAACGGTAACAGAAGTAAAGATATTAAAGAAAAAATCTGTAATACTCAAGTATACAAACAGAAAACAAAAATTGTAAAAAATACCCTAATACTTTGTATTACCTCCCTTGGCTTCTATAACTGCCTCTATACGTCCGTTTATACTGTCATTGAGACTGCATATATCATATTGCTTTATGTTTTCCTATTCTTCTTTAAGGACTAAGTGAAGTTCATTTAATGAAGTTGGTAACGCTTCT